AAAAAAATCTTTTCGGTTAAAAAGGACTAAGGCTTTCTGCAACCATATAACCTTTGGTATTTGCCTTTAAAATCTTTTTTGTCACTTTTGACAAAATCTTTTTTGTCAAATTATGAATTAAGTCTTAATTCATAATTTTCTGTGATCCTATTTGGTCAAGTGCCTAAAGTTTTTTGATATTTTTCACAAACTTCCCAAAATTCAAATTCTGGGTGGAGTGTTTTTGACCTTGAACTAACTTTGGGATTTTCCAGAGGGCCCCTGAAACATCTCAAAAGATTTGTTCTCTCTCTTTATAAAAAGGCAGCTGTTAAACTAATTAAGCTTATAATATACTAAATTACATGGGAAGCTTGTCAAATAAGAATACTAAACCCAAGAATAAAAATAAAAAACAACAAAAAACAAAAAGAATACTAAACCTTCTTTACCTTATATTTGTATAGGTGTATGTTAATATAACATATTAACAGTGTTTCAAATAGTATACGAAATTCCTAAAATTCTGATATGTTCTGATACAATGTTATCAGTTGTAATTTTAAAATGTATGTCACAGAAATAAGCAAACCCCCTTGCTAATTCTGTTATGAACTCTCATCAATCTTTAATAATGGGCTTTTTAAAGCCTTTTGTCATTTATAGACAGTTATTGCTTTACTCTGATGCTTTTGAATTTCATCTTCAGAGAAATTCATAGAAAGGATTCTGACAAGTATTCTAGAATTCAGGTATCTGATAGCTGTAAGATAATACCACTGAATTGGATTTAGGAAAACTTTTTCTATTAAGCTATCTATGACTTACAACAATTTGGCAAAATCATTGTGAACAAAGATGAAACGATTCCTTTTCTCCCTACCTGATCCCTCCAGAATTTGGAAACTCTTGTGTAATTTTCCTCATGATAATGTAGTTAAGTTATTTGCATAAGTTCAAGAAGAATATACTCTCCTTATAAACAGGCCACTGACTCCTCTGTGGCTAACATATTAGAAAAAAGTCACTCCCCTTCAAACTTCATAGTGACCACACTTCTTAGTGACCTAACTTCACTGGTCAGATACTCTGACAAGTTTGTGCTGTTTGGCCAGTTTTACAACATTTTTACTGTGCTTACCACCCTCAATCTTCAGAACTAGTTGAACATACTAATGGCGTCATTAACAGCTAATTATAAAAATTTGTAGAAACCCTTCAAATACCCTGGCCAAAAGCACTGCATTTGCTTCTTCTGAATCTTAGGTCCATCTCTTTCAAAAGTCATAACCTTTTCCCTTTTGAGATAATCACAGGATTCCCAATGCACCCAGCCCTGCTCCTTTGATCCAGAGCTGATAAAAGGGGATATACTTCAATTTTGCAAAGGTCTAACCATATCCTTAGAGAATACTCACACTTTAGTAGAAGAATCTTTACACAATGCACTCCCAGGAATAAAAAACACCAGACATCATAATCATCTGCAGCCTGGAGATTTCATCTACTGGAAATGACACCTTTAGAAATACTCCCTCCACCCTGACTGGAAGGGACCTTACTGAGAATCGAAGCAGCCTGCAGCTGAGGCAGCCAACTTTCCCAAGATTAGTGGATCGGGTCTATTTACCTTTCTCACTGTTGCTTCTTACCTTATTTTCTCCCTGTCTTTCTTAGAAAGACAATACTCTTATTCACATTTCCAAATCTCTTGCAAAATTGGGAAAACTTTTTGATTGTTGAATTGTTAGCAGAAACTCTGCTCTGTTCTTGACAGACTCCTGAGGTCTTACCTGGAGCCAAGCTCTTCTTAGTCCCAAGTGACACTGCGGATCACACCCACAAGCCTTTGCATGTTACCTATGAGACTGGCTATCATGGCCAGGGATTCCCATACTTTGTTTCAACTTTACCCGTCATAACCATACGAGCTCAACAAAAGACCTCTACCTTTGCCAACTATACATTTTCCCATCCCACCCCCAAACCTCATGTTCTTTTCCTTAAATATGATCTGTCCCCATATACCCAAAGGAAATACAAATGGGCTAACTCCTCTTTGCAAGTCTTTTAGCAAAGACCCCCTTTAGTATAATATGGTACCTCACAGAAGGTCATTCCAATTCATCTGATCCCTGGCTTGAAAAGTTCAATAAGGAAGTTCTGGCTAGTGGATCTATCAATAACCAGACCTTAGCTACAGTCGTCTGTGCTCCACCTGGTTTCATTTTTGTCCGCAGTAGATGGCATTTCCCATGTGCACATGAATGTTTAGATAGCTGATGAATTGGAGACCAGTGCTTATTGGGACATTTAAACGGCAGTCCTTCGGCTCGCTGCCCCTGACTTCAGGGCTTGCCCTGGCCATATGATGACAACACAACAGGTGGCAGGTTGGGCCTGGGTCATTCCCAGAGCAGCTTTAATTTGTTAACATTTGATAACAAATCAGAAGCCTCCCATTGGTCCTTTCATTGCTGTACCCCATTAAGCTTCCATGGCCACCCTAAAAGGGAACTTCCAAGAGGCATACATGATTCTGAGTTTGTCTGCATAGCAAGAGCCTTTTTCCCTTGAGTCACAGTAAGTGCCAATGAGCACATGATCAGAAATCTCTCCCTAACATTACGAGAGCTAGCTGTTTCCACAGTCAAAGCAGTAGCAGCCCTACAACAATCATTTGACGAGTTCGTTAAGATATTTTGGACAATGGTAAAGCTCTTGATTACCTATTTTGCTGATCAAGAAGTTGTTTGTGCACTAGCAAAAACCATCTATTGCACCTACATAAATTCCCCTGGAGAGGTAGAAACTCAGTTATACAAGGTCAGAGAACAAGCATACTGGTTAGAGCAGATCACACCTGACTCTCCATGGTCCTCTGAGTTATTCAGTTGGCTACCTTCAGGTCTAAAATTATGGTTTGGAACCATCATGTGACTTGGATTTGTCATGTTACTTTTAATTCTGTTTTGCATAATTCTGTCTAAACTTTGTACTTGTTGCCTGTTAAATCTCTGCAGAGGTGATGCACCAAATAGAATGTTAGCTCAATGCTTTGAGATGATTTCCAATGCTTACGATCTAGACAAGGTATTAATTTAAGAGTGGAAGATGCCTGAGAGCCCCTTCCCCTACCTTCTCTGTTGCTTAAATGAGGTGTCTGTGGTTTCTGTCACCACCTGGTCTTCCCTCAGCCTGGGACATGGATCCTGGGAAAGGTCCTTCCTGGCACCAAGGGACACAGATGGACAAAAATGTTTAAGAAATAAATAGATAAATAACCAGATACTTGAGCAGTGTTTTCAAGGGAAGACCTTGTCTTAAAGGGGGAAATGTGAAAATGAACAAAGAAAACCTAATTCAAAACGGAGTGGGGAGAATTCTTGCTCATGTACCACCCCTTGAAACTTACTTCTCATACCCCAGCAGGAAGAGGATTTTCTCCTGGCCTGGAAACAACCTAGTCAATGAGAAAGCTGCTGTAACCCCAAACTTTTGGTCTTTTCCAGTGAACTTTTTCAGAGCCACTCATCTCAACTTGGTCCTTTCCTCTATTAAAGGGTGCTACCCTCCTTTGTTCTATGGACTTGCCTATGGTTGGCCACAATTTGCATGTACCAAGTTGAAATTTCTCTGCTGTTCCTGAATAAACGTGACTTTGCTGGATAAGTTGTTTACCTTTTTCTTTTAACAACTGACAAAAGTCCTGAATGGAAAGACAATTTAAAATATATGTCCATTATCCCAATTAATCTACTGAGTACATTTCTGACCAAAATCTTAAAAGAATTTGCAATGAGATTTCACAACTCTATCCTTAAAAAAAAAAAAAAAAAAAAAACCTCTTTAGTATATAAATTTTCAAGTGTATTCACTACTGGAGGAATAGCTTAATGTTTCCATCACCTAGCTTCAATAATTACCAACACATAGTTAGTCTTGAACATTCAGGTTTTAAGTTTATCTCAAGAGTAATTAAATAGTCACAGAAATTTTTAAAAAGACAAACAAGGAGAAACTTTCTCTAATAGTTATCAAATAGAGAGCTATTGTAGAGAGGCCCGTGGAAAAGAAGAATGTGATAAGGGTGCAGTTTCCAATCAGTGTGGAAAGGATGATTTAAAAATAAACAAACATTGTTGGATCAACTGACTACTCAACTGGGAAGAACTTATGTAATTCACAACATATCAAAAATAAATTTCAGATAAATTAAGGGCCTAAATATAAAAATTAAATCTATGAGAAAATTAGAAAAATTTGTAGGGGGTATATTCCAAGCCAAGTAACAATAACAGATTTGATTGCATGAAAAATTTAAACTTCTGCAGAATGAAGCAAAGTTATAAGTGACAGATTGAGGGAAATATGTGCCACACATAAATCAGACCAGGGAAATGACAAGGACATGGAGATAATGAAGTAGGCTCAGTGTTTAGGAACATACTTTACTATCGCCCACACACAGGAAACACGGCTTCCCAAAAATATGAGATGGGATTTCAGGGGTTAGTTTCGTCTCTTTCCCTAAAATTCTTCCAGTTTTTTACAAGCACCGTATATTACGTTTGTAATTCAAATTTAAACCTTTCACAGCTAAAAATCTGGCCTGCCTTATGTTGTTCCCTGTTAATGCTTCACCAGCTTTATTTTAGATTTATGACGCAGAGGCACCGGGGTTTTGCCGCCTTTGTGTCACCGTGATACTTACTACAGAAGTGAGTCCTTAAAACAGTGTTGATCCTGTAGGTGAGGGACGTCCAGTGCCGACACGTGAGACCTTACGCTTCCTCATTGCACACTCTCCCCATCCTCTATCCCAGTTCCAGGCGCATAACTCACTTCATCTGCCAGCACGAAATGACACGCAAGAATTCATTCCTGGAGCGCGCGTCACCGCAAATCCCGCGCCTCTGGATCTGAGGCTGCTCTGGGGACGCCCCCGGCCGCCCTGCCGCCTGGTATGTTGTCATCACGTGGTCTGGGCGGGCCCTGACGTCAGGGCGGGGCGTGGCTGCGCAGGCGCAGAAAAGGGGGCGGGGGACTCGGCTTGTTGTGTTGCTGCCCGAGGTCCAGAGGCGATCCTGCTGCGGCCGCTGCCCGACGATGTCGTCTCATTTAGCAGAGCAACCGCCGCCGCTGCACAACAACAACAACGGCGAGGAAGGCGGCCAGCCTGTGCCCCCGCCAGCCGGCCTCAACAGTGAGCGCCGGGCAGGCGGGCGCAGCGCAGGGATGGGGGAGGAGGAGCTGCTCCGGCCGCCGCCGCCAGCTCCGCGCGGGGGGCGGGAGGAGAAGGCAGCCCATAGGCCAAGGCCGAGGATGTGCGGGTGACGGACGGCTGCCGCCACCTGTCAGGAGGAGCCGCTCCTGTCTGCCTCGTGCCCGGCCGCCCCTCCGTCCGGGGGTCCTGGCTCGGGGGCTGCCTGGCTCCTGAGGACCCCCGGGAGAGAGGGGCGCCCGGCCGTTCTCACCTGTGGGCCGCAAGCGGGGCCAATCGGGGCGTGGGGGCGGGGCGCAGGGGCAGCGGGCCGGGCGGCGCGGGGACGTGGGCCGGGCCGGGGACGTGCGGCGGGCGCGCCGGGGGATGGACGCGGGCGGCGGGGGCGGCCGGGGGAGGCGGAACGGGGGGTCCGCTGACCCCCGCCGCGGCGGATCCCCGAGCGAGCGCTCTCGCTGCGTTCCTTTGTCACCACAGGCTGGGCAGGAAAAGGGTTTGGTAATTTAGTGGCTACTTGCATCACGTTGCAGGGTGGGGGTGAGGAGTCTATGCTACTTTTTTTGAGATTTTTCAGAGTTGCTTAAGTGATTTTTTTTTTTCTCTTTTTGAAACAATGGGATCGAGTTCCATGTAAGCCGGTTTATGATCAACCTCTCGAACCATCTAAGACAGAACAAATCACAGAGTCTGGGGCAGTGGATTTTCACAAACAGGAATAAAAGCGCACATGCAGGGGCTCCTGAAAGTGAATGGGCCATATTGAGTTTGACCAACTACGGTTGCTTTTCCTGACATTCTGGTGCTCAGACATCTTGTCTTGAGGCTATTCCCAGGTGTCTTTAAAGCCCGAGTCTTAGAAAAGGCTCTTGCCGAACCTTTCTGTAATTCATCTCTTGAAAGAGGGAGTTGGGACAGTTTGCACATGGCAGATGAAATCGTTTAAAAAGCATTGGGATGCTTAAATGACATTTAAAGGCATTGCAGTATCTTTCATAAGAGGGAGGTGTTCTAGCATGGCCTAAAAATTATTTTAAGGAAAAGAATTCCTGTCCTCACAAGATGGGGATAGAATTTGAGTTTTCATTGCTGCTGCTCCATCTTTGGATGGATAAATTCCTTAAATGTTGACTTTTTTAAACTTGTAAGTGCCTTTTTTTATGTTCTAGAATATTAGATTTATATATTATTCCCCACAGTAAATTAGGATTAATTTGTCTCTTTGTTATCTCCTTCACTTATTTACCCATTCTTTGCACACACCTTTAGAAGCATGGGGTTTTAGAATGGGAAGAGGCTTTGGAGACCACTGTCTCCTGTTATTTACCAGTAAAGAAACAAGTCTCAAGAGTGTTGTCCAGGTTCACAGCAGGCTAAGACCTAGTACTGAGATTTTTACTTTCACCTGATTGAGTGCTCCTCTCAGAACACTTCTTTTCTGCGCCCCAGAATCCCCTGGTTATGTATGTGTTTTTTATTCTCTCACTATGTTAGTCCACCTAAGGCAAAGGTGACCTGCCTATCTCTCTCTCATACTGTTTCCTAATTGTATTCATTGTTTTCCTGTGATACTTAGAAGTTAGCTGTTTGGTTAGTGTGTGAACATGATTTCACAGAACACAAAAGACTTTTAATTCTCCTTTGACCATTTAACAAAAAAATGAAGTTGAGCTGTATGTGATCATCTTTGTATGACAGACGCATGTGGTGTTTGATGTCCTTGGCCAATCAGTTACTGCTACGTTTAGGTTGGCTCTTGAGAAGTGGAAGAACACTCAGCCCTCGGGGTGGGGGGAGGGTGTGTGTGTGTGTGTGTGTGTGTCTGTGTGTGTGAGAGAGAGATCAAAGTGTTGCTTTGGGAAACCTGTATAGAAAGCATTTTATTTGGGGAGGGGTGAGATTTAAAAGTTATAAAAAGCTTTTAGACATTGCCATACTTAATTACTTGCCTCTTGCCTTTTACTCTGTTTTTTAGCTCATTATACAACAGTGCACTGAACAAAAAGCCTTATTGATTCCTTCAAGTGATTTTTGGGCACTGGGCGAAAAACAACTCATTCAGGCATCTAATATCAGCGTTGCTGATAAGTTGAAGTTCTTTGCTGGGTAAAGTTGCATAAGTATGAAAAACAGGAGATGAACTCATTGTACAGATTATCTCTGGTTTAGGATTTTATCTTTAGTTCAGGGGTCAAAGCAGAGTTTTACCAGTGAATTACTGAAATACTGGGAACAATGAAACCTTCAGATTTTTTTATTTACAGTTTTAGGGGGGACTTCTCACTTTCATTACAAATTAGTGGACAGATATCTGAAGTACTTCCAAAAGTCCAGTTTCCAATTGTTAAATTTTATTCTTAAGACTAGCAGACTAGCAAGCTACTTAAGAATAGTTGTATAGGATATTTATGGCATAAAATTCGGTAGGTAATATAAGGAAAATCAAGTTAACAGTATAATTCTTGTTATTGCTTAGTGTAGGAAGTACACCCTTTTTTCTTTTTCTTTTTAAATATCTTCAACATGATGTACTTGCTTCCCCAGGATGGCATGAAGGGTGTTTAAGGCTATGACATGTGACACTTCACTGACTTATAATACTGGTTTGAACACATAAATAATTAGTGTGAAAGTATGTACTTGTGCAAAAAGACGACCCTTTTTTTTTTTTTTGGAAGAATGTCAGTGACTGTTCTTGGTCTGGATTCCATCATCATGTATTTTAATTTTAAATAAAGGCTTTGAGGAAAGAAGGTAAGACAGTGAGATATGTCTTGCCTGGTTAGGAGAAGAGTTGCACACGGGCCCTTGAAAAAATGAGGGGCAAAAGAGAAATACAGTTGACCCTTGAACTATGCAGGAGTTAGGGGCATAGACTCTTGTTCAGTCAAAAATCTGCATTTTTAACTCCCCCAAAACTTAACTTATAATAGACTACTGTTGATTTTATATTAGGAATGTTAAATAGACTAGTATCTACATAATATTTTATGCACTCGTGACATAACTAGCTTTCAATTTTTTCAATATTTCTAGGCTACATGGTTCATCTATGAGGTTTTTGCATTGTTGCAAATCTCCACAAAAATTTCCAACATATTTATTGAAAAAAATGCACATATAACTTGACCCTCATAGTTCAAACCATGTTATTCAAGGGTCAACTGTACCCTTCTTCTCTCCCTGCCCTTATCCCCCAGCTCTCCCATTCCTCTTGCAAGAGGATTGAACTGGTGATATGAAAACCATAAAAAATATGTACAGTACACAGTCGTGAATCTAACTACAATCCTGGACCACCCTTTGTGATGTACTGTGTTAGAGAATGTAGACGTGTGCTTTTCTGAATCTCTTTAGAGATTATCAAAGATATCAATGAGAAAATAACTCATGTATTGTGCATATATACAATTCAGCATTATAGAATGGTTTTCAGTTGGTAAGTAGTCTTTAAATATAATAGAGACTGCAGGTTTTAATTTTAAAGCGTGATTATTGGGGAAAGAACTCCCTGAGATTTCTTTCCTACTTTGCGTGGCTTGAACAGCACAATCTTCATATTTTGCTCTGTTTCCTTTCCAAGTAAAGAGGGTCTTTGTGAGGACTGGAAGGGTTAGTACACCAAGATATTCCGAGGCGCTCAGAATTGTAGATGTGTAGCCTCTTAATGAGTTTCTGTGCATAACTTTCTGTGCAGTACTGTTACTTCCCTAGATGGCATTGCTGAAAGAGAATTGTTGGGTTAAAGGAAATTACCTTTTTAAGGCTCTTAATACATACGTATTGCCAAATTACCCTCCTCCAAAGCCCTGATTGTCATAATATGAGAAGTAATCATTTGGGTAATGGTTAACCCATTGCCATTTGGATAATGCTTAAAGTGGTATATCTTTATGATGGGATGAAAAGCAGTTGTTTAAAAGAGTGAAGTAAGGTAATAGATATTAACATTAAAAGACATCTGTAAGTTGTTAGGTAAGAAACACTAAACAAAAATACGTATGATACAATTTTTTTTTTGTAAAAACAAGTGAAAAACAACTATATTTTTCTTTGGAAAAGCTCTATAAGTTTACATATGAAACTTCAAAAGGGGTTTCCTTTGGGAGTAGGAATGGGAGATGTGATGTCTACATGTTCAAGAAACATTAGTTTTGCAATAAATGTTTTTTAAAAGATGCAGGGTATAATTACAATAGTAACATACTTAGCATGTACTAGGGACCTTTATGATTTCTCTATGCACTTTATTTCATATTCCTAGCAACTGTATGACATAGACACGATTATTATCCCTATTTTGCAGATGAGAAAACTGAGAGGTTAAGTGACCTGTCTAGAGTGTAACTGTTATAAGTGGTAGAGTGGGAGTCTGGCTTCAGTCTGTGCTTGTAAACAGTCCCCTGCTGTATGCCAACCAAATATCGTCTGCCTGAAGTAGAGATGCTTTCAGTTATGCTGGGTGTTAAGGCATTCATGATCACTTCTGCTAAGCTTTCTAGGTATGTCTCCTCATGTTCCTAGGTTCTGATGGCTTATGTGTTTTTCGTGCAGAAAGTAGAATATAGATATTCGTTTTGAAGCCCTTTAAAAAAGTAAGATCTAGAAGACCTGATATTGTTACAGCCTTTTTCTCTTTGATCTGCTACTTCAAGTGAACATGAATTGTATTTCAGGGAAGACTGGCTTATACAGAGACCCATCTGGAGCTCCTGGTTCCTTGGTTCTGTTTTTGCCAGAACAACTTGTGCCTTTTGTTTGTTTTTGTTTATTTTAAACATTGAGCTTCTGTACAAGAAGAACTGGTCCCATTGGTTTGAAATAAGTTAAAAAATCCTAGAAACAGTTGAGTAGAGAAAAGTTTGTTTATCATATACCTCTCTCTCTGCGTCCTTTCCAGTTAAAATAAACTTAGGGATGCTTTTGGCGTGTTCATATTCCAGAGGCACGCCACATATTTAGTTAATTTACCTTCAGTGTTAGCTCTTTCATAGCTTTGCTAGTTGAATTTGTTAATCCATTTTGAGTTCTGTCTAGTCGATGTCCATTTTTGCATGTACATGGAAGGAGATCACGGAGATGTCATCGTCTGTGTTTGGCAGTACGGTCCCAAAGCATTGGTGGTGATTGTGGGACTGGGACAGCCTCTGGGACTGCCTTCAATGCAGGGGAAGGAAGGGGAGCTTCATTTGTATTTAGCAAACACTGTTCTAAGTACTTTACAAATACAAACTCTCCTAACTAGTGTCTGACAACCACTCTCATTTACTAGGCACTTTAGCTATGTCCCTGTATTTAGTCCTCACAGCAACTCTGAGAGGTTAGTCCTATGATATTATCTCTCTGTTTTGTAAGTAAGGAGATTGAAGCTCAGAAAGTCAGACAGACAGACACGTGGGAGGGTCAGATTTCTACCCAGGTCTGCCTTTGAGCCTGTCCTTCATCCAGGGATGATGCTGAGCTCCCTTGTAGGGCTGCAATGGTCGTCACCTTGTTTACAGCGCATGAGGCTTTGAGGCTGCTGGGGTGATTATTCTGATTTACTGATAGCAGGCGGTTCAGCCACAGAACTCTTAACACTGCTGGGAGTTTAGAGGAACGGTCCCACCAACCTGCTTAGTTACATTTTCCAAACCAAAATTTGTTGTAAAGAATGGAAATTAGGAAAAACTACACCACTTTCTGTTTTTGTATTTAAGTTGGTTTATTGGCTACTGCTACCAGTTCTCATTAATATGAAAGCACCCTTGCAGTCACCTAGTAAGAAATAAAGCAGACTTCTCTCTGGGGGTTACCAACCAAAAAAAAAAAAAAAAGTATGAAACCTCCTTAATGTGTTCAAACTCATTGAGCCAATAATTATTTTCAGGGATTTCAATAAATACTTCAGGAATTTCCATTACTGGGGCCACACCCCCTTTTCTGTGGCTCCACCTCCTCCCACCCTTTGCTGGAGAAAATCTTAGTGTCATCAGTATGGGTGAGCAGCTGCTTCTCCCCACAAACCAAAAGCCTTAATGAAAACCCTAGGAAGCAGGGACTTGTGGGAGAGAAGAAAGGACGAGTTCACAAGGTATGTTGAGTGCATAGAGAAAGGAGAGAATGGAAAGGAGAGGAGGAAACTATTTTGGGACAGAGGGGAAGGTTTTTTCTGAATTTTTAGTGTTATCTGACTTAAAGAACCAGATGCATTAATTTTATGCTCCATAGCTTTACACAAATAGAAAATTTTTTGATTGGATTTACATTGCCTTTCTAGGAGCGTCCCAGGTGTTTGCACTAGTTAAGACATAGTTGTTAACTACTTAAAATGTCCTTTATGAAGTTTCTAAGCCATATGTTTATTTCATTTGTGGAGAGGATAGAACTAAATTACTGGGATAGACTATGGAAAAAAATACAGATATAGTTCAAGTATAAAGGTAAGTAGCCTGTCTTGTAATAAAGTAGCTAATTTATTTTTCGAAAAGGAAGCTCAAAGTTTTCAGTGAAGTGTTTATTGGGTATAAACTTAGCTCTAAACTGGAGAGAAAATTGGCTGAGAAACATTTCCTGAGGTACTAGTTTTAGAGTTGCAGCTTCTTGGTTGATTGCATGAGTTACTTTAGGAACAGAAATATATAGATTTTTAGACTTTTATTGCTCCTTGCTTATTTTCTTCAGAAAATTTTTTGCATTGGTTTGAGGCAAGACAGAATTCTTATCTGAATTTACCATATTCACATCTGTGTGTGCATGGCAGGTTTCGGTTCTGCTGCAGCTAATCAAGCTATCTGACTTGTCCAACAGGTTCCTGGGTGGAGCTGCCCATGAACAGCAGCAATGGCAACGATAATGGCAATGGGAAAAGTGGGGGCCTGGAACATGTGCCCTCCTCGTCGTCGATCCACAACGGAGACATGGAGAGGATTCTTCTGGACGCCCAGCACGAGTCAGGCCAGAGCAGTTCAAGAGGCAGTTCCCACTGCGGCAGGTAAGCGAGGGCCGTGGGTGGCGAAAATCAGGGAACGCGTGGGTCACAAGGTTAGTCCCCATCAGAGAAAAATCGCCATCTTCATTTAACACGATCTGCCCCCTGCTGTACTGCAGCATGTGTGTCTAAATCAGCTGATCGAGGAGTTCTGCAGTGCCCACTGTTTTTCCCAGGATTAAGTCAGTTTCTTAATTCAGATTGCTCCATTTTTCTGTTTATCATTTTAAAGGCAGTGGCATGAAAGTTCCCTTATAGAATTAATGTAACTTTCTTCCATTTTCCTTTGTCGTTTTGTTCCTGTTTCACAGGTCATACTCTGCCTTGAATATAATTACCTCTGTGTATATCTGTCAGCCTTGTAGATTGTGAGGCACCAAAGGGCAGGGGTCCTATTTCATCTCCTTCGTGCCCTTGACAGAGGAGGTGCTCGCAGGTGGTAGACACTCAGTAGGTGTGTGAGTCATAGGAACTGCAAGTTGATTCAAGTTGCGGCAGTATTTGCAGTGGACGTACCAGCGCGGTCTGTGAAGATAGTTAATTTTGAAGGCCATTCTGTTTCCTCAGAGGAGGTTTTATTTCAGACCTCATTTTTCTATGTCTGACTTGGGAAAACTAATTCCGTTGATTAAGGACTGCATATGGTGATGAGAGTAAAAATATAGAGCTAAATATGAGTTGAATGAAACCAAGTTGTTAGTTTATTTTTCAGAATAAGCTTCTCTTTTTCTTGAAGGACTAGGTATTAAATCACATAGCAGTATACTTAACAGTTCTTAGACCAATGATGGTCATACTGTCAGCATTATGGAGTATGGGATGGTCTTCTGATTGATTAAGAGTTAATACCAGCCATGTAGAACATGCAAATGTGCACAGAAAAGATTCAGGAAACAGCTAAGAATGTAAACAGTCATTATCTCTAAGAGATGGAATTACGGATATTTTTCTTCTGAATATTTTTTTACTTTGTAAGAATTGTGTATGTAGTACATACTACTTACCAGAAGAAGTATAAAAGGAGAAACAAGATAAATCACATTCCTGCATTCTCATGATCCACTGATGTTACCACGGCAGCAGAGGGCTGGCCTGCTGGCTCTGTGGCGCTCTGTACGCCCCCACTACCCCGTCTGTCTGACTTGTCCCTGTGCTGCTTAAGAGCCTGGGCTGGCTCTTGTTTTAAGTGCAAGCAGAGCAGATGGCTCTTTTCTGAGCATCTTGCCATTACTTCTAGTAGCTACAGCATTTGTCTATCTTTCAGAATGAATTTTTGTTATATTTCCTTTATATTATGGGATTTGTTGATGGGTTTGTGATGTCTTCTGCTTCTGTGGGCCTGCTGACAAGGCTTTTACGAGACAGTCAAGTACATGACACTTGCTCTGTGGTTCCAGGGTGTCTCTTCACCTGCTGTTCACTCGGCGCGCTCATTGAGCAGAGAGGAGACCATCCGCTCGCTTTTCTGCTCATCTTACTTCATTTATGGTCACAGTGACACTTGGGATCGAGTATAAAGTCCCCTCCCCATGACTGTGTTTCAGTCAGGCTTCTAAACATGCAAAAAGAAGGGTGGCTTTTGGACCCTCTCCTATCCCTCAGCTTGTGTATCTTCAGGCTCTCGGTTACTGGCCGTCTTCCAGAGGAGGCCTGGAGCTCTAGCTCAGGACATCTGGCCAGCATGCTTGGGCGTCGACGACAGTCTTCAAAACTAATGTCATTTGCGTTGCCATGCATTTCTGTATTTGAAGTTGTTGAGACGTGTTTCTCATAGGTGAGAAAGTTCTCAGATTGTTGAATATTAGTCTGGAAGCTAATTGTGTATATTTTCAACTTCAAAATTATTCCATAGATATGCTTTTGTCACTGTGGTAGTGGTTAGAAGATAATCCCCAGGTGTTTTGCTTGTGTTCCATCCAAAGCTGGAGGAGTTCTCAACCTACCAGCTAGTTTCATTACAGGGCTTTCCAGAGTAACAGCACACAGACCCCCATTTCTAGTGATTCTCATTCTGTTTCAGGCATGGGGTAGGGACATGAGAACATTTTAGAAGCTCCCTAGCTGATCCTAGTATGAGCCAGGGTTGAAACTTTAATGCATTCCAAATTGTTACGAGTAATGAACAGTTTACAGTGACATGTTCAGTGTTTTTTTCTAAGTGATTTTTGCCCATAGTAAAGAGCAGTGTAGAAGTAGAGTGGCGCTTCTGGAGGATTCCTGGCGTTGGCGCCCGCTGCTGTCAGCCGGCTGTGGCTGTGCGAGGCTGGCCCTTCCCTGATCTCTGGCTGTGGACGGGACAGTGTTAGGAGAGTAATGACAGTGGACTGGGGACACCAGGAGGGCCTGGGTCTCCTTGGCTCCTGTGCCAGAGCCTGAGGTTTCTAGTTCAAGAGGACATTTTTCTAAGTACATTAATATGTTTGTTTGATACAGAATCAGCTTTCCTCTTTGCCCATCTCCATTTAAGAATCTGTGTCGGTTATAATAGTCTAAGACTTCTGGACCTAATCAGTGATAGATTTCTGGTGATCTTCCTTATTTTTGAGTCACCCTCACCAATATCTCTGTGTATAAACATTGGATACATGCTCTTGACAGTTTTAATAGTTAAGCCTGGAGCATTTTTCATCCTCACTTAAGTTCAGATTTGGGTGTGTGTAGTGGAAGATGTAATGACCTGCTGGGGTCACACAAGCGATCGCTAATAAAGCTAAGAATAAAACAGCACATTGTATTCACCTATCGTATCAAGTACAGTTTGTGATCATGTGTGTTGGTCTAAAAATGTTCTGTAAATTTTTGTAGTTCTGGGAATGTATCTTGTATTCTCATGAAAGGTTATGTATTCATATCTAAGCTTATATAATTCACTCTGGAATATCTTAAAGCAGGTATTTCTGAAATAAGTAGAATAATGATTCACAGATTTTCTGATCCTATTGCTCCTTTACACTCCTAAAAATTAGGGACCCCAAAGATCTTTTGTCAGTGTGGGATATGTGTATGTATTTATATTTCTGTCAGAAATTTTTTAAAAATTAAGAAATATGTATTCATTCAACAATAATAAATGTGTTACATTTTAACATAAGTAACTTTGATGAAAAATAACTATTTCCATAACAAAAAAATTAGTAATAACAAGGATTAGTGGTGGTGTTTTACAGTTTTGCATATCTCTCTAATATCTGGCTTAATAGAAAACATCTGGGTTCTCATCTGCTTTTGAATTTAATCTGATTAAAAAAACACATCATGTAAATTTCTCTGTACACTTATGAGAGAATAACAGTGAAAAAGGCAAAGAAATCATAACAGTATTATGAAACCAATTTAACCTCAAAGACCCTTTGAAAGAGCAATTGGGGAGGTCTTTGGGGAGACAGGACTGTGTCGCCTGGCACTGGAGGCTCCTGGCGCCTCTCCTCTCCCCAGACTGTGTGTCCTGCGTGCCTTCCCCACCCCCAGAGGCTGTCCCAAGGACGCAGCCTGGAGATAGTGACGCGGCATTGGGACCATCTGGACCGTCTGCATGACTGAACCCCATTCAGGCCTCTATATAAACTTTTAGCATTGGGCAGGTGGGTTCAGAGATCTTCCTATCTTGTGGCTACCCAAGAAAGTCCTCCTGTGTAAGCTCTGTTGCTTTTTACACCAGCCGCCTACCAAGCTACAGTGGCCTGCCTCTTTCTTCTGTCTCTCTCTGCCCCCTCCCCCTAAAGTTTGGGGGCTAGTTTCCGATTACACCCACAAAGCTCCCAAAGAGGTTGTGAACCAACAAAGAGTCTTTGAGAACTGCTCTTACACTTCAAGAGCTGCTGGTGACAAATTATTTAGTGGTGAAAGAACTTGGAGGGAAAGAACCCCAAATTAGGTTCCTGAATTGGAAGATCATTTTACCTCTATTGGAGAAGAGTGAAAATAAGAAAATACATCATTGCAAAGGACTCTCTCATGACTGAAAGATCCCCAAATATCTTGAGAGTAGGTGTGTGCAATTTCCTTTTTCTCGTACGGGGTTGTGATGGACTCTCTTGATTTGCTACCTTTTCAAAGCTGTACGAGTGTAACTTTTAATTCTCTGATTTTCATCAAAGGCTAGCTTTTTTGACAAAATGAGAATTAAAACTAATGGCTAAATTTTTTCTCTTCTAGCCCTTCCCCACAAGAAGATGGGCAGATTATGTTTGATGTGGAAATGCATACCAGCAGGGACCATAGCTCTCAGGTGTGTGTGTGTATATTTTTCTGGTTTACAATAAATAGGAAAAATGCAGACCTCTGTAAATAGGTATGTTTTCCTGCAATATATTCAAGAATGAGGCAACTTTAAAAAATAGTTGAAGCTATTTTAAGTCATTCATTTTCTGATTTTGGAGTTTAGCTAGGATGCGATAGTCCTTTTTGAACAACTTTATGAGAATTCAGAGCCCTATCCCCATAAAATAACTGGAAAATTCCAGGCTAGTTTCTTGACCTTATAAATAGGAAACCAAGACAGATGTCTTATTTAAGGTCACAAAAATAATTGAAAAGGAACTTTGTTGTAGAACCAGGTGTGAAAACATTTTCTTCATCTGAAACCAAAGCAATGACTTGACATGAATCTCAGCAGCCAGAGATGACCATCAAAATTATGTGGGTTTCCTTAAGTTAAAGGAGATAAATATGGCTCACTAGGAGTTGACATTATCACTAGGCCTATGACATACGCATCCATAGATGGATGTGCTATTGAAAGCTTACCATGATGTATATTATAAACTTAGGAAAAGCAAATAATTGTTCATGATTTAGAATGTTCACAGCCAGCACTTAACAGTATTGATGTGTCAGGTCACCTAAAAGTATTAGAGTGCAAATTCTGTTAAGGTGCTTGTAGAACATTTGTTGAAGGATTGTTTAGACAGATTCTAACAAAAATTTTGTGGGGTTCCCACTCTATAGTGTCCTAAATCCTGTGAACTAGAAGTACTGTGTGTGTTTTCTTTGAGCCACCCAATATTCTTTGTGTTTGGAAGGCTGCGTAGTTCTTCCTACTTTGTGATCTGTTTGTGCTGTGCTTTGAAACCTAGAAAATCGGTGGATTTGATACAAATATATTCTGTGATGAAATTATAGTATTTTATGGGAAGCTTATAGTAGTCATGTGGGACTGAAATTATTAAATTGCTGGCTTATAGATGTCAGTTTTGCCACATGGCAATAAGCTTTCACTAATGAAAGCAAATAAAGTTTCCTTTGCAAAAAGTGTTCTTAGAAATCCCAAGATAGAGAAATGAAATTAATCCTTTGCTATAGTCTTTCCTGAGGAAGATGTTCTCAGTCAATATTGTCTTTTGTACAAACAAGTTAAAAATCTAGATGAGCGTTTTCTAAAATGGGTTTTGAGGAACATTTGCTCAATGGGAAGTTCCATAAGGTAGTTCTGAAGCCAAATAAGTGGAAAATAATGTAGTTCCTGGTCTCCTCACCCTCCCATCCCAGAAGTCACAGCACAAAGTAGCCTATTCAAGGCTCTGACAATTGCTACAGTAATCTGTTTATTTAAACCAAGTATTTCCCAAGCTTTTTTGATCTTAGGCCTCCCTGCCTCTCCACACACACTTTTTCCCCTAATAATGTATCTAACAACCTAATGGAATAATAATAAAAATCATAACAACAACAACAGCCTAGTGGAACACGTTGATAAGAGCTGTTCTGGCACCTGGAGTAGCCAAGCTGCAATTGTTTTTTAACTGTTAATTGAATTTAAGTGGAATTTTAGAGCTAACCGCCTTCATTCTAAACTTCCAAAGGAATTTGTGACATTCAGAAAATGTTGGATTTTTGGCCTCTCAGCAGCAGCTTATGGGAGAGTACTGCTCGTGTGGTCACTGTTCAGGGCCACGTATCTCAGAGCACATCCCAGGTATTGGGTGAGCAATACTAACGGTCAGATCAATTTAAACAAGGTTACCTTTTTGGAAAAGCAGTCTAACTCCTATAAGAAAAATATTGCATCTTTTAGAGTAAGACTTTTAATAAGGGAGAAAGGTATAATGTATTTAAACTTTCAGAAACCCTTTTACATTGCATTGTTTAAACTGAAGAAACTAATTTAAAAATAAATTATTTTGGGGCTTTGGAGGAGGATGGATTTTTTTTTTAAGAATGAGAAGCAAGCCTAGAGTTTGGAAACAGTTAAAAACAGTTAACAGAGGGCTGCTATGATACTTGCTCTTACTGAACATTTTTCTTTATGCCTGGATGACAGGGCATTGTCAGCCTTTGTAGGAGGAGGAGGAAGGCAAGGCACTGACCTATCTTAGATATAAAGTCCTTCACACTCTTACTGTTCTCAGTTCAGTGAAAGAGGTGATATTATCCCCATGAACAAATCAGGCTTTGTCTGAAGGAGGTTACTTACCTAAGACCACAGTGCAAGTAAGCAGCGGCGTCAGGATGGAGAGCGGGGCTGCGTGAGCCCCGGTTCCTTCTGCCACGGTCAGCCAGTGAACGGAATTGATCTCAGGAGCACTCACAAGGTCTGGAGAACGAATGGAAACACGTCTGGTAGACGTGCAGTGCACGGAAGCCTCAGGTGTGATGCACGGAGGAGAAGGATCCTCTGAACTACAATTTCAGGGTGACAGTCCTCAAGAGACTCAGTTTTGTAGCAGAATATAGACCGTGAAGGCATTTCCTGCAGTGTGTTTCTGGGACCAAAGCGGCCAGCACAGTGTTGGGTATCATTAGAAGAGGATACAAACTGGAAAGCCCTCCCTTTGCCCTCTTGTATGACGTGTGTCTGTACTGCAGTGTGCAGCCAATACCCACGCGTAGAGGCCCAAGGGAACGAAATGGGGGAGGGAAATGTGAGTGACGAGAACATAAGAGGCTTATGCGTGAAAACAGACTAAAATGATGAGAATCTTCTATCCCAATAAATGTAGGTGGAGAGAGTTACTGAGTTGGTTGAAAATGTGAATCTTTCCAAGTACATTTTTACCATATTCTGGAATTCTAAGAATTGCAAGGCAGTTTAAAACCCAAAACTGGCAAATTTAAGATTAATAACAGGAAGCACATGGCAGTAGTTGAGAGCTTAGGATCCTTGTTCTTAAGGTAATCATTCTAAACTGATTTGGTTGTTTTTTTTTTTATAATAGTTCAGAGAAAACATTGCTTCACTCATCTTAGAGAAAATTACATCATCTTACAAAAATAGAGCATAAAATATTACTGCCTTTTTATTCTCTTGAAAAGTCTGAAATAGTAACTTGTTTGCAAATGTGCACCCGAGTCTTTGAGCAGCTTTAGAGAGGGGCCCGTGAGACCAGAGTTGGAAACTAAGTAGCAGTGTCCTGTGGGGTGTTACGTAGAGTCAGCTGTTGTGTGATCTATAGGTAAATCGTGACAGTGTATTGCTTTTTTATTTAGGATGTTTTCAGATTTACTCAGAAGAGCCAGCTCATGTTTCTGAGTAACGTCAATGCCCAATGGAAAAAGCCTGACCCTAAAGGCTACATTGTGTCACTCAGTGGAATTTGCCAAGTTCAGCAGAACTCCATAGGAACTAGTAGCAGAGCAGCAAAACTCCACAGGGATTTACTTGCTGGGTGCTTGTCCCTTTTGCTGTCTGAAGCTGCCTTCCCATCTCGCAGGAACTAGACCTATCAAAAAAGATATGGTCATATTCTGCATTTCATAACTGCCGCCTGAGAAGCATGAAAGCTTTGGTCAAGAAGTGAATCCTCTTCAAACAAACAGCAAATCAAAGCAGTTCTTAACTTTGCAACCCTTTGGTTTGAGGTCATAGCATCACATTCCTTAAATGATTTTCATTCAGTTGAATGAAAATGTGTCATTTTTAGGAAAATCTCCTTTTTGTGGGTTCTTGTGAAATAGAACCTATTGGAAATTTTGTTGTTCTTGGCCCAAACCTCTAAGTTAGTAGCAAGAAAAAGGATTTATTTTTCATTTATTTGTTATGAAAGATGTCAAATTCTGACTCACTATCAAATAAATTGTTCCAACAACTTTGGCTTAAGTAGTTTTGAATAAACCTTGGGAAATGTTTGGATAAAGCTTTGTGTAAAAAATAGAGTTGTCCGGGGAGTAAAACTGAATGCTTAAGGTGGGGTGCTCTAGCAGTTTGCCTGGATTTGAATACAGTCCCTGCTCCTTACTACTCATTGTCCTTAGGCAGTTACCTGATTTATGCCTCCGTTTCCTCATCTGTAAAATGGAATATGAATGGTTTTATATTTTTATAGGGTTGGTGCAAGGTAAAAGTTAATGCCTGTAAAACGATTAGGATGATGCATGTTTCTTGGTAAATGCCTAATAAATACTATTTTTATGATTTGTTTCCTCATCACATCTCCCACATATTTTCTCATCAGTTTCTATTTGTTAGCTTGTTCTTGGGTATGTACCCCTTTATTTTTAATAATAAAAAGCTTTGCATACCAAAATAAAGAGGATATTACAGTGGTCCTCCTTAGCAGCATGACCCAGATTCAGCAACTCTCAGTATTTTTCACACTTAGCATTCAATCCCAAAGTACACTTTTTTCAGGTTTTTATTCTATGTTTAGATACAACAGTGAAGCTTACTCAGCTTCTTTTTAGGATATTAAATACTCTGATCTGAGATCATTTTGTCAACCTTCTTGAAAAAACAGCATGTTCCTTACATAAAGTTGACTGACACACACAGTCTTACAGTTTTCCTGTATTTTCTGTCTAGATTTGTCTTCTGGAACAGGAGGAATCAGTCTTCCTCTTTTTCTCTTTTAAATTTTGAATTCTTCTTTATAGTCAGAAGAAGAAGCTGCAGAAGGAGAGAAAGAGGTTGATGCTTTGAAGAAAAGTGTGGACTGGGTGTCGGACTGGTCCAGTCGACCTGAAAACATTCCACCTAAGTATGTTCACATGCGTGTCTTCTCTGCGGACGCGCGTGCAGGTCCCACTGCTGCGGGCGGCGGGCCCCCGGGTCACCAGGTCTTGTCAGCAAGTGATCTCTGATGTCTGCCTCTCCATCTTGTCCCCAGGGAGTTCCACTTCCGGCACCCCAAGCGTTCTGCGTCTCTGAGCATGAGGAAAAGTGGGGCCATGAAGAAAGGGGGCATTTTCTCCGCAGAATTTCTTAAGGTGTTCATTCCATCCCTCTTCCTCTCTCACGTTTTGGCTTTGGGGCTGGGGTAAGTACTCGTAAACTCCTCCGGTCTTTCCATTCATTTATCCTACTGTTTTATTTCCAGATGTAAGAAGTGTGTGTGAAAGCAGCTGTAGTGTTTTGCTTTTAATATCTAAGTGCAAATAGGGTGAACCTGAAGGAATTAGTAGAGTCGCTCCACCACTGGTACAGTGATAGGCATTTTTAATAAGGAGGGTTTTTTTTTTGTTATTTTTGGATTTTGATGTTGTTTATAATTTAGTCAAGATTAGCTAAATTTTAAACTAATCTTTAGTGTGTAAATCTCAGGTTGATAGGAACATTTTTTTTCCCAGATGGGAAAATTCTGTTGAAAAGACACTATTTTATCAAATAGTCTTTGAGCTGGTAGGCTTGTTGAGAGTATTGTTTTTTTTCCTCTTTGTAGGATTTTCATGTATTTTTAATTTACTTGGCATTTACCTGAAATTCCTCAACTTCTCAGGCATATCATTTAATTTTTTATTTCTTGATTGAAAAATTGAGGAACTTTTTTTGAAAGATTTTAAGAGAAAAACACAGGCTGTTGATTTTTTCAAGGCATATCTGTTTCTGTCTTGAAGCACACCCACTTGGTCATTTCATGTACATAAAAGGCAAAAGCTACATCATCCCTTATTTTCATGTGGGAGAGATACTCTCAGTCATGTACCTGGAAACATGTACCCTTCCCCCCCAACCACCACTTTTGTCTTTCTGGGTGCCCACTACCTGCTTTTGTATGGCAGGCAGTGATGACAAACATACAGAAATGGAGGGGGTTCACGGTGCAAGGAAGGTGGGGACGTTGTGTGGGGTGGGTGTGGGAGCAGGCGTAGGTTGATCTCCCCACAGTGTTGACCCCAGCGGAGGTCATGTGCACTCCAGAGGTTTGTTTTTGTACCTTGAAGTAACTCTTCCTTTCATAAATGTTCAGCTTGTTTCTCCTGCTGGTGTAAGTGTACAGATGAGTGTAGAAAAAAGGATTTAGAAAGCTGGTCTTATCGCACTAGAGTCTGGGGATAGTTCCACATTGTCCTTGATATTCCTTCTTGTCTGGCACAGGCAAGTAATTTTTGGCCCTTCATCCTTAGGAGTTAAACTGTTCGTGAGAGCCTCTTTAAAGCACTGCAGCTTTATAATTCGGCATTTTACTGTAATTCGTATCTGAAGTATCAGTAGGACTTTTTGCCCACCGCAAAGGAACCTCTTCAGATAGGCTAGTCCCACCTTACCTTTGGAGGGATCCACTCTCTCTCTGGCCTTACTTGGTCTGATCACTAACCCCGCGCTGTCCAGTCCTGCCTGATGAGTAAACATGATCTTATAAAACCAGTTTGGCTGGCTGGTGACTAGTTTTAAATAAGTCGGTGATGATTTCAGGGTGTTGGGGAACTGTGCACGTATTTTTTGGAGCCTCTTACAAGGTCTGAAAAGTGTACTTGGTAAGTAGAGCTCAGCCTGTAGACAGGCAGGTACAGAACTGTTGCAGCAGACGAACATGACGACTCTGTTCCCTTTCAGCATCTACATCGGCAAGCGGCTGAGCACACCCTCCGCCAGCACCTACTGAGGAGACAGAGCCCCCGGGAGAGCGTGTGACTGTGAAGTGGTATATTGTCACAGTAGTTTATTTGAACTTGAGACCATTGTAAGCATGACCCAGCCTCCCACCCTATTTTTACATATCCAAGTTCCAGTAACTCTCAAATCCAGTATTTTATTCAAACTCTGTTGAGGCGTTTTACTAACCTCATTCCCTTTTTGGCCTGTAAGACACTTTAGAATTTCCTAACAGAGTTTACTGTTACTTAGAAATTTGCAAGGGCTTCTTTTCCGCAAATGCCACCAGCAGATTATAATTTTGTCAACAATGCTATTGTCTCCTTTTAGTACCACCAGATTTAGACCTGCATCATTCATAGTATAAATTTTATTCTTGCAAGATAACTACTATCTCTCTCTCAAAATGAGATCAGGTCAGCAAATGATGCATAAGCTCTGTTGTTTTGTTTTTCAAGACCAAGGCAGGCTTCCCTAAGCTTGAATTTATAGTTATTAAAAAAGAAAACAAAAAAAAAGACACAAGAAGAAAACTATCCTGGGCAATAAAAAGTTACTTTAAACCAGCTTTGGAGCCAGTTTTTGTCTAAGCCTCCTAATGGCGCCTTGTAATTTGTAGGAGGCGGGCTGTCTAAGTGATAGGTGTGAAGTTGAGTAAGAAACACATCAGCAGACTTCAATCCTAGTATGTTGTAATGCTGTCTTTTCTAAGGTATAGAGTCTTTATTTCTAATAAGAGGTGTCTCAGGCCTAGAAATAGATGAAATTGCTTTGGGGATTTTTGTGTGGTATTTTTATGTTTATTAGCTGCATGTGAATTTTTCATGACTTCACATTTTTTTTTTCTTTCCTTTTTCCTAAGAAGAGGCTTTGGAATGAATTCCAATTTGTGGTATAAATATAGGCTTCTTGTTTTAGGAAGCATCACTTACACTCTGAAGCCTTTAAACTCGAAAGATAAATGTTCCAAAGCTGCTCTAAGCACTTGTGTAACTTTGAAAAACACACTTAGGTTGTGGGAACAATTGACAAAGTTCTGAAAAGATGCCATTGGTTTCCGTCTGGTCTCTGCCTCTCTCATGTGCACTGGGCACCCTTCCCAAGGTGACTGCCGGGCTCTGCAGGCCCTGCGCCTTCGCTCCCGTAGCCCTCTTCCCAGTTTTGTTAGAATCCTGCAGTTCCCCAGCACCCAGTGACTTTCTGCAATGATATACTTTTTTGTTTCTTTGTTTCTAAAATGTGAAGCTTTAGGACCAAATTATTCAAAAGCATCAGGATTACCACTTATTTCAAGTAGATTTATTGGATGTCAGAACACAGCATGACTCTGAAAGATACTATTGTCTGTTTTATATATAAATAATTACTATTTGTGATATAGACATACTATTGAATACAGAGAGAACCATTGTTAATTTTAAAACGAGCAATCTATTCATTAAGTAAAGTGTATCAAGTTGACTTGAACAAAAACTCTATGACAACCAGGTTTGCCAGTTTGCAGAAACTAAATAACTCTTTTCCCTATCACATCAAGTTTTGTAAAATTGATGTGTTATTACAGTAGAAAATACAGATTAAGCAAAATTTTTGGCTTTTTTCAAGAATATAGCTGGCTATCTTTAAGAAAGATGCTATATCTAAAATAGTTTTCTGAATTACTTTTTCTTTCTAGCATTAGATGTCTAAATAATTTTGGATATTTTCTTGTATCTTGTTTGTCTTACTCTTAAGCCTGGTAACACTTGATTTGCCTTCTATAACCTGTTTATTTCAAGTGTTCATATTTTAATTTCTTTGGGGAGAAAGTAAATCAGATGGCCCACTGATTTTGCAAAGCCTGAGTAAAATTGGAAAGGCTGGTGAAGTTAAGAGAACTAAACAGCTAAACTGCTAAAATACAGTTTGTATTACAGTTGGTATCATGGCAGGGAAAAGTAAAAACGTACTTAAAATAAGAGAAATCTTTTACAGGCAACACATTGCCCTCTTTTGAAATTCAGTAGCAGGTCTGTCAGAAATGTGATTGAACTTGGGTATATCTATGTTTTCTTTCAAAAGTGATAATAAATTTAGTTCTTTCCTTTTTCTTAAAATATCCGTGAAATTTTGGACCATTACTTAAAACATGAATACATGATCACAGTAGAACTTAACAGAATGAAATCACGCAGTATTTATTAATAGCCTGAACATGGGGTAAATGTCTGTGCTCCTGCCTAGGTTTGTGTTGAACAGAAACACATTATGTGATTTGAGAGGTGAATTTAACAATTAACAGTTGACGTTTTAAGGTTACTGTTTCAAAGCTTTATACCTGTTTACAATTTGGGAGCAGAAAGGCAGACTTCATTTTTCTTATGCTGGGTGAAAACTGGCTTAGAATATTTACAAATAGAATCAAGAGCAAAACTGCACAAACTTGCACATTGGAAAGTGCAACAAGTTACTTTGATTGCAGTAAAAATATTTACTGTTCTAAAAATGAAAGTGGAGGGCTTAGATGAATTTTTAAGTGAACCAGTTGTTGAAATTATTGGGATTAACTGAGCCAAAGTGATTATGCATTCTTCATCTGTTTGGTTAGTGTACATTGTATCATTATATACAGTTTACAATACATGTATAACTTGTAGCTATAAGCATTTTGTGCCATTAAAGCTCTCAGAAAACTTTCTGTCAGTATATCGTTTTATGTTACATGTGTTGCCTGGGAGTTCAGAGGAGAGGCAGCCTTACCCATCTCACAGAAATTTTCCATCATTCAGTTCCTAGCCATGTGCCAAGCATGTCAGGGTGCCCTTCCTGCCCTCTTGAGCTTCCTGTGCTCAGGACAGTCGCCGCACAATAGAATTACTAAGTGGAGAAGTGTGTGTGGTGGATGGTGGGGCCCTGACCCATTCATTCTGTGGGCAGCATCGGTGTTATTCACAGAGGACGTGTGGTACATTGGAAGGTGAGTAAGTGTTCAGCAAGTGCAAAAGGTGGTTAAGAGCGTGCCTGTAAAGGACAGGCAGGAACTGACATGTGAAAATATGTTCCAGAAATACAGCGGTCTTCAGTGTGGCTGAAAGCAGTATGGGTAGAGACGAGACTGAGAGTGCATGGTTTAGTGTTGAACCAAATTGAGACCGATAGGCCCATTGGCGGGGTTGAACCTGTCTATTGTAGAGTTGGATACCTTTGAGGGCTTATTTGAAGCTGGGAAATGACCGAAGACTGACACTTTAGACAGTTATGGAAGAGTGAAGGGGAAGGTCCCAGGAAAAGGAGACCAGGAACAGGGTCTGCCCTCAGCTGTGCCCTGAGGGTGGTGGGGCAGGTAATGGAGATACAGGAGACAAAGCTGAAGTCGGCTGGCAAGACGATGCAGAGGGGGAGAAGCATGTTTGTTTGGGTTTATTTTTTGGTTTGAATATTGATGCCATTAACGGGGATGGAAGGAGGGATAGAGTGGTAGGGGGAGAGAGAAATGAGTTGAGCTTTGAATACGTGAACCTGGTGTGGACACTTACAGAACTGGAACTCGGGGGAAAGGTCCGGAATGGAAATGAAACTCACTGAGGCACACGTACGTATACATCTTGTAATACTTCAAGATGGAGCAGAAGAGAAGTTAACAAAAGTGGGTGGTGTAAATGGTATGGAAGGAGAATCCCTGATCAGAGGAGGTGAGCAATCCTGTCAAATCAGTGCTTCAGGAGGGCCAGCGAGGAGCAGCTTTATAACTCGGTAACTGAATCTGCCAGTCTTTGCACAAGCATCTTTCCAAGAACAGAAGAGGGGTCCCAGATGAGATTGTATTGATTCAATGAATGGACAGCAAGGAAGAAAGTGTTGGCTTTTCTCAGTGAATGTGGAGATGAAGAAAATGAGGAAGATTTGGAAGAGGCGGGATGGTAAGATTGCTAGTTGCGGGGTATAGAGACAGGAGCAAGTTCGTAGGGTAAGGAGAGAGCTCAAAGGGAAATACAGGTTCGAGGGAGTAGAGATGCTGGAATGAGATGGCGGAGGAGGGACACATTAAGGACTTGGGAGAGATTCACCTTGGGACGGACGGGAGCCTTTGAAAGTTCACCAACCCAAACACTTGCGAGAGAATAAAGAAGTAGGTGGCAAAGGGTGAAGTCCTGTCTGTCAGGTGTGGAGTGGGAAGAGGAAATCCACCCCCGAGGGCCTCCATTTCCTCCTTGACGCAGATGAGGACGGGGCTGCTTTGCGTCAGTATCTCTTGATCTGAAAGGAGACTGAAGCACAAGCTGACGTTCTTGAAGCTTTGTAATTACTCTTGCCGTCCGTCTCCAGCCAAAAGTATCCTTCACGTCGACAGAGTGGGCCCCCTGCACCTTGGCGACGTGATGCTTTTGAGCTTCAGCTGTCTCATGGGCTAAATGATCTCTTGGGACCTGTTAACTCTGTAATTGCTGTAAGGATTGAGAATGGCTGAATTAGGTATAGACACAGACATTTTAGGAGTGAAACTTTATATCTGGTAGTGGAACAAGAACAAAAAGCTATGAATGCTGGGTTCAGGTGACCTATGAGTCCAAGTCACAAATGATTAATCTTCAATAAACTCGTAAACCCCATTCTTGACATTTTAACATTTATTTGTCTTAGTCCTGGGATGGCTTGTACCTTTGCTCTACCATGTCCTCTACTTAATTTATTGTTTCTTACCTAGAATGGTAGAAATATAGCTACAAAGGTCGTGATGTTAGCCAGTTTGTAAATTCACAGTAAGAGAAAAACAGCCTTGCTAAAGGCCTTACTTGTCCCACTGAAAAGACAGAAAACTCATTGGAAGTTATTAGACAATAGCAAGTCCTATAAATAACAGAAAAGAGCATTTGAGTGTGTTTCAAGAGTTTTGAATGAAGTGCTAATAATGGGTGGTTAAGCTGCTGATCAATTCTTAGACTTTGAAATCCAAACTTGGAAGTTTGCCGAACTGAACCCGGAGTTGAGGGAAGAGGGACTCCGAATCAGATTGCCAAATACTTGGTTACCACTTAGTGAAAGGTGTGTCTCCTCTGGTTTATATCATTCTTTGAAATGCTCAGCAAAGCAGCAAACTTTATTTTATTTTATTTTATTATTTTTATTTTGCTATCATTACTGTACAATTACATGAACAACATTATGGTTACTAGACTCCCCCTATTATCAAGTCCCCACCACATACCCCATTACAGTCACTGTCCATCAGCGTAGTAAGATGCTATAGAATCGCTACTTGTCTTCTCTGTTGTACAGCCCTCCCTGTGTCCCCCCCCCCCACTACATTATACGTGCTAATCGTAATGCCCCTTTTCCTCCCTTATCCCTCCCTTCCCACCATTCTCCCCAGTCCCTTTCCCTTTGGTAGCCGTTAGTCCATTCTTGGGTTTTGTGATTCTGCTGCTGCTTTGTTACTTCAGTTTTTTTCTTTGTTCTTATGCTCCACATATGAGTGATGTCATTTGGTACTTGTCTTTCTCCGCCTGGCTTATTCCACTGAGCATAATACCCTCCAGCTCCATCCGTGTTGCAGCAAACTCTTTTTTTATCTCCTCAGCTTCAGTGAATTTTGCCTCCATTCCATTTAATGTCCTGTTTCCTGCTCCCACTCCTAACATGAGCATGGAAAATTGTGGATTTATTTAATAGGGAAACAAATGACAGTGTTTTTTTTTTAAAGAGATCTCACAGAAGAGATTCTGAGGCACCGCCGAGAAGGTGCGTACTGGGCCCCAGGTGTGGGAATGGCACTCACCTGGGCCCAAGCCGCCGCTCTGCTGGACCCAGGCCTGTCCATCCAGCTGCCTGCTAGGCATCGTCGTTCCAGACTTCACATCCCCTGAACTCATCCCTGCTGCAGCTGCCTTGCCATCCATGTGTTGGGAAAGAACTCGGTTCGGAGATACAGGGAAGTCAGAAGGGAAGGGATTCATCAAAGCAGGAAAGGCAGGGAATGGCAGCTGCCTCAGGCCGCAGAGAGCAACGCGGTGCAGGGGGGAGAAGAGGAAGCTCATTGGATTGCTTGGCACAGGGCAGATGCTCTGCCAACTCCTAAAGCCAGGGTCACCTGTGCCCAGTGTCTGCTTGAATCCACACGGCAGATTAACTAAACCCCTGCCACCCCAGGATTCGGGGGAGCCGGAGAGCAGTGGACGGAGTGAGATTATGGTCTGGGAACTTCCCAAAGGCAAAGAAAAGAGTTGCGGGCAGGCTGCTAAAGAGCTGTATCCTGCAGCCGCCGTCCTGCCTGGGTCACCCAGATGAAAGGACCTGCCCAAGTCGGAGCTCTCGGCAGCCCCTCTACTTGTCTGAAGTAACCCAGAGACAGTGAAGGCTTGTGCTTAAGTCTGGAGAATAGAATAAAATAGCAAAGTAACAGAGACACCGCTGGAAGAGCGCAGAGACAAGATGTATGAGTTGAACAGTAAGAAGTCTTATATTTAAGGCAAAAAGCTGCACACTCGAAGAAAGGGGAGTATGGGCAACCTCAGAGAGGAGGCACCCTTAAGGGTTTACAGTTTGGGGTTTTATAGGGCTTTTTCGTAGGAGTCGGCATAAAGCATGATGTATACAGGTGACTCATAGTTCCTTTGAAGTTTTGTCCTAAGAATAGGGCTATTGACAGTGTTGGTCTGGATCTCAGCATTCTTTAACCACAGGTTTATTTACACTTCAGAGGTCTATCTCCTGTCCTGGTTACAGAGTTACTTGATGAAGGGGCTGGAAAAAGGAAAACCAGCATATAGATTAAAGTTAAAGAATAAGCTGGACCTTTTTTGCACGTTAAGGAGATTTTACAAGGGCATTCATTATCTAGCCGTACAATGAAGACATGGGCTGCACTCTGATAATTTTATTTATCTGGGGAATATCTGGACTTTCCAAGTCACCCCTGGCCTTTGAAACTTCAGCTGATTAAGTAATTAACTCCGTGAGTCCTTTCTGGCTCTCTGGTTTCATCTGGAACTCTCCGAGTCCCTGTTAGTGGGCTCCACTGGCCTTACTCTCCTTCCACCTGCTTATGTCTGTCTTTCTCACACATGGACCCGTCTTCCGACCAAGAGGACCACGAGCACTGTTTCAGTGGCCCAACCCAGAAACTCGCCCGCGCTTCCCTCCGACCTCCAGGCAGTCCCCACTGTGGTAACTCTGCTTCCAGAAGGTCTCAACTCCACCTGCTTTTCCCACCTTGCTCCGCCTCAATCCAGTTGTCCCCCCACCCCCACCACCGGTCACTGCTTAAGGAGGTTTCCTGCTGGACTCTGGCTCTGTATTGTTATCAGCAGCCACAGTGTTGTAAAACGCAAACCTGATCATTTCGCTGTGTCACTTGAAACCCTTTGTGGCCCCCTGTTATCTTGAGGATGAAGCTAAAAGGTTCCCTCAAGTTGCTGCCAGGAGTTTTCCTCCTCGGGCCTTGCTCATCCCTGAGGTCAGACCAAGTGCAGCCTCCTGCGCTGACACCTGGCCTTGGCTGCGCTGTCTCCTTTCCTTGGGTGCCCCCTCCCCACCCCTGCCCTTGTCAGTTTTCAGGGCACAGCTCAGAGCTCACTTCCTCTGAAAACCTCCCCATCCATCCCATGCACACCGAATGCCCAGCTGGTTTGGGTGCCTCCCCCACAATCTCGCAGGACATCTGGCGGTTGCCCCACCGGGCACCATCCCCCTGCAGTAG